GGCACGAAACGCAGACAGCAACAAAACAGACGATGCTTAAACAATAAAAAACGGTTGCATTAAGCACGCGGTAAGAGGAACGGGACCGAAGATAAATCAGCGTCGTTTTTTTCCCGACGTGCTCCCGTTGAAATTGCCGCGTTACGTTCATAAAAAGTGCCGGTGTAAAACGAGCGCGTCGCGTCGCCGCAAACTTGCGAGCCTCCACCACGCCTCGCCGCGGAACTTTCTGAAAATTTTACTAGCTGGAAAAATAACGCACGCCGTCGCGTTGTAAATTGCGTTTCGTACTTGATACTGCAGTCGGCGACGTTGGCGACGTGGGTAGCGATCTCGGTAGCATGAAGTCGTCCGATGTTAAACCTTGCACGCCATCCTCGAGCGATACGCTCCTCTTGCGGAACAGTCCCCTCCGGATGAGATTCTCGTGGAACTCCTGCAAAGATATCGAAAAGAATAACGCCGTGGTGACACTTAAGATCCTTGCGGTTTCATTTTAACCCCTTAGCTACTGTTGACGCCTGAAGGCGTTTTAACCAGTTCACACGTTCCATGCCGGACCGATTTTTGGATACGCTCAGGACGATTAAATTGCTGCTCTTAACTTATGTTCTACAACTTTTACAATAGCACAAAGACATTGTAGAAGGACATTAAAATAATTACTTAAAAATTAATTTCATTGATCTGTTGCCTAACGCATCTTAATCCCTACACCTTTTCCTCGTTAAAGTAATTATTTTAATAAACACGTGGTTAAACGTTTACCTTACCAGGCAACCGCATGGCACGGAACGTGTTAACTGCATTTGGCGCATATATCCGCCCACAGCACTCAAAGGGTTAGTAATTATTAAAAGAAAACTTTGGATTTTTCCTGGGTGTATAACTGTAACCATTTGGTTTATATTTATATTTTCTTTAAGCCGATCTATTCGAATAGATTTAAGGTCCAATTAGTTATTCAGTGAAACAACTGAAGCATTGTAACATTTTTTTATGGTTCTCGATATATTTTCGTTCTTTGCCCGCTCGATTGCAAACCTGTGTAACGATATTAACGTTCGATAGTTTTCGAAAATTCCATCAGGTAAGCGTTACCTGGTTTTACCAAGTTAACGTCGGCGTGTACCAACGGTGGTGCAAACAAGGTTGTCACGTCGGACGACGCGTAGCATCGATGGTTTAAAAAGAAATTCATTGAATTAATAAAACCGCCCGATACAGGGAAATATGGACTGCAGCGCCAGCGCGAACGTGCTGACGGAAAAAGTAACGCGATTTTTCACATTTGTTGAGACACGCATTATCAGACGAATGTATTGTTAACACTGGAACTACCGTATCATCTCAAAATGGCTGGTTTTGATTTACTTGTTTCGCGATTATTGATCCTTAAAAGATTATTCGACTATTCGAAATGATTTTAAAAATAAATAGTTTCATTTGAATATTATAATGAATGTACGAAGAAACAGAAAATAATCTATTATTACAATTTTTACGAGGATTACATACTAATCATGTTAAATGCTCAGTGGTTTTCGTGTTAAATAAAAATATTATAAATTTTTACATTTTTCGTAACTAAATTTAGACAGCTTAATCTACACATAATAAGACACCACAAGACACAGGAGATCGATTTATTTCATTCGAATAAGTGCATACTATTTACCATGCGTTAACACATTCATATTGTTAATAAATAGTTATAATAAAAAATTTTACAATATCTTCTGACAGACTTTATATAACCTTCTTATTCTAATGTGTAGATTGAGCACTAGTTTAGTCGGCTAAGTTTAAAACACAGCATATACAAAAAAACAGGAAAGATGTATACCAATTGCATTTCAAAAAAGGTCAAAAACTACCTCAAAACGTTATATTTAAGCCCTTTACTTTAAAATGATCTCAAATTCATTTGAAACGCCGTTAGAAGGTAAAATGATATTGCAGAATTGCAACTATTACAACCAGAAACTCGATGCTTTTGAAAAATAGACTTCAGCCACTTTCAAAATAAATGGCAGATTTATGTAACGCGTTATACGGGACTGTTTATCGCGTCGCACGAGCGCCAGTCGCGATTTTTTCGTAGCGTAATACGAATTCGCGTTATAGGGGAACGCGTTATGCGGGAGTTCACCGAATATGGGTCAAACATGACCAGTTACGGGACTCTGCGGGATTGCTGGACCGTCGGCGCACCGAAGGTTAATACATTTCATTACAGCGTTATCGTAGAATATTTTTATCGCGTTACGCTTAATGAATGTCATTACACGCTGTTCACGATATGAATTTCGTTAAAACATCTACTTTAGGGGGCCATTTATCAGCGCGAATTTGTCAGCAACACTCTGCTTGCGTAACACAGAAATAAAGCACACTCCTGGGTCCCAGTTGCTCTTAGAAAAGTACTTCGAACTGTTCGGTCGTTGCAACCAACACACTCCCATCGAAATCTTCCGATTTCTATCCATCAAACTTTCCAATTACTCGTCCCAACGTGAATTGATGCACGCCATCGTCGTCGTGCCATCGATTCTGTAGTTACTGGAGTCGTTGTATCTTAAGATTGCTGGTGGATTCATTGATCCCTCTATAAAGAATCGTCTACTGTAGCCATGCTGTTTTTAAAATTACCGTTGGAACGTAAATATAGGAAAACCCGTAATATGCCATTATATTTTAACCCTTTGCACTCGAGAAGTGACTCTCAGTCACCATTTGATATAAGAAAATTACAAAGTGTTATATATAATATTAAGTTTCGTACAATGCATCAACATGTGAAATATTTATATAAAATAGCTTTGTTTCTAAATTTACGTATGTTTTCTCATTAGTTCGTTTCAAATAGTGTCGTCTATGTTTCATCAGAAAGTGTCGAATGTTTATAACGAAAAGCATCCGAGTACAAAGGGTTAAAGCTCGATGACCTACAATTTTCATCGACATATTGGTGGATGGAATATGTAATCCAACGAATAATTAATATTATTGGAAATGTTCAGAGCACTCTTAATTATCTTGTTCTAAATTATGTACTTATACAATGAAATGGAACTTATTAACAAAATCGACGTAATTGTAATTTATTTCAGTAATTCCTTCCTTTAGAATGATTTTATTTCACTTATGCTCGTGAAAGTAAACTGAAAATAAAGAAACATCCTGAGTAACAAAATAGGTTTCTTTCAATAATTGATAAGTGATTTATTACATTCTAGAAATAGAAGATTGAGGAAGGTCCATTTTTGTAATAAAAGGCAATATATTTTTGTCCAGAAATATTTAAAGACATCTAAAGGCAAAGATATGCAAAGTTAAAATTGAAACGAAAGAGTGTAAAAATTTCTCATATGAGATTCTGTGTTTCTTTAGAAAAAAAGAGAATAACTTTCGACAAATTTGTAACAAAAGCTCTTCTTCTACACACCCATTCAGCTATTACAAAAAAGAAAATAGAATTAGAAGAAATATAAAATAAAGAAGTCTGTAGATATTCGTATATTGTGTACACTGTGCCATTTGCACCCTGCGGATAGTATCTCTCAGCAGTTGTGATAAATGATGGCAATAACAAAAGGAGTATACTAATAATATATTAAAGTTACAGCAAAACAAAACGTCATACGTCACTGAGTAATTAACTTTACAAGGCTGTAGCATTAAAATGAGTGGGTCGAGCAATAAATCTGCCAGAGGGGCTGGAGCTGAATGCGTTGTCTGCAGTGTTCCACAGATTAGTGCATGTCAAATGGGAATTGCTGGTAAACATTAATCCATAGGAAATAGAGATTTTATTTAAAAACTTGACCTACTTCCGCAAAATATGCGTTGCACAAGGAGAGACAAGAAAATGAAGATAGGGTGACATATGACATCTAATGTCATAACTAAGTTATATTAATGTTACCAACTGAATAATTACTCTAATTATTAAATAATAAATACTAAATTCATTAGGTAAATTACAATAAAATAAAAACCATTGAATTAATTCCAAAATCATACGATTTCATTGCATTTCAATCATCAGTATCAAAAAAGCAAATGAAGAAATTATTCGTGCATTATAAACCATAGAATTTTCGATCGTTACAGTTCATCTAATTAATCGTTTAACTTGATCAAGTGTCTTCGCGTGATATTTTACATTAATATATCATCTTTACGCAAATGCGATACGTTGTTACGTTAAACAATATTTTATGATTCATATCTCATGAGTTTATTAGCAGTATATATAAATTATCAATGCTATATATATTTTTAAAAATCAATAGAAAATAATGAAAGAAGTAATAAAATAGGTAATTAAAACATTTTCGCTTGAACGATTTACTATGGTTACTATGCTGTACAAAGAAAAAATTAAGCTTTCATTAAGTTTGATTGAAGCTTTTATTATCCGATGTACTACCCCTTAATCGCGTGCGGTATAAATGTGAAAAGATCACGGGCTAAGTGAGCAATACGCTGCATCTTTTTGTCTTTTTGCGGTTTGCTTCGCACGAATAATCGATTGCCTGTAGCCGACATACGTCGATGGCACGCAGTGTGAAAAACGGTTGTGTGGTCAGTTCTATTGAGAAACATTAACCCTTTAGCTCTGACCGAGCTGCACGCGTAACTGCATCGCGACACGAATAACTCGACTGTTAAATGTTCAAAATGGCACGTACTGGCAACGCAGGCAAGGCGTCTACTGCTTCATATCACTTGTTTATTGAACAATGAATTTCATTTTATTAATGAAGAAAATGTGAATGGATGCGTGAAATTTAAACCAGATGTTTGCCCGGTTATTAACCAGCATTTCTTCGTTATACAATTATTAAAACATCATTCATTGGTTGGAAGAATTTTTTTATCATATCGTTATAAATTACTGTTTTGTAGTCTTTATGAATAGTTCGTGGAAATGTATAATTTATTAAGTAAATAGGAAATATGTGAGTTATTTCTTTTATTTCTAACTGTGCAAGTCTATGCAGGCCATTACGCTTTATCAAGTGATATAAAAAATATATAGTTATAACTAATATTATATTAGTTAAGATAGTGAGAAGAAAAGAAATGGTAAGAAACAAATTTTGCAGTAACATCGCATCAGTTTCGTATAGTTTTTAATATCAAAGCTCATTTTAATACCAAAATGAAAAATAAAATTTGGTTGCTTCATTAAAATATTTTATAAAACAAATGTTATTTTTTTTAAATTTTTGTCCTGGTTCTCTGATAACAGTATAGAACTTATATAAAGGTATAAAAGCACAGAAAGATTTTTTTATAATATATATATATACAAGCACATAAATCAAAGGGGTGATAGAAAAATTGCTTTCTCCCTTAACCCCTTAATGGTCATATCCGTGATATACAACATGGCTATGACGGATTGATAAAGGACGGTATTGAACCTTGTTAACTTATATCAATTCAAAACTATGATTTATTCTTTCTGCAAAAGCCTCGCGAAGAATCAAATGATAACAACTTAGTGTTGATAACCAAATAGGAACGAAACTACTGCAAACTTGACTCGAAGTTTCTGAATAGCGTTCTATACAGAGAAAACTTGTTCGTTGACAGGTTAAATGTCATGGAGGTCACCAGTGACTCCCAGCCAAATTAAATTACTGTAATTCATTTCGCTAAACGACAGTTATTCCACGAAATCTCAAAAATAGAGCTAATCGAAAGTACACATAAGCATTACTTTGAAAGATAATTGTATTTCGATCAAATTATATATTAACTCAGAACTAACCAGACGAAATCTTGAAATCAAGAGTCGTTGAAAGCACAAATGAATATTACTTCGAAAGATTATGTCATTTCTGGGAATAAATTAAAATTCAATGAACAAGTAAAATAAAACGTTATTTCATAATAAACTAATAAAATATTAGAATTAAATTGGAATTCTAAAAATAAATTATCCCGATTACATCCTGTATGCTGTATACGTGACGCGGCCTATTGGGAGCTTCAGGTTCTATCCGGATTCGGGTGTCATAGCAGCCGACCCGTTAACGACTTCATTTCGCGAGGTAAATGATTCACGCTACTTGCCTCTTCGGGATGCTCGTCTTGGAGCGTGGTGACCCTGAGCAAGGACAGATCCTCTGGCGTCGAGGAGAATTGGACGGGTGCTCTGACGGTCCTGCCCCAGGGGTCCTGATGGTTCCTCCTGCACGTGTGAGGATAAGACGGTTCACCGACTTCGCCGACGAGCTCGCGCCTCTCGATGCGAATTTCACCGTCGGAGAAGGTTTTCTGCAACGGCAGGAACCTCCTCGTCGACAGCGATATTCGGTTGAGGAGAGCCCGAGCATCCGGTGACACGGGCGCAGGCTTAAAGTCTATGAGGATTTCCTTGTCGTCTATGTCCATGGACCTTCGTTGACCTTCAGGCTAAACGAAGGAAATTGAATGATACTGAGTATATTTTCTTCTATTCTTTCCTTTTTCTTATATTTAGCTTTCAATTGTTTCAATTTTACATTGACTCATTTTTGAGTATTATAAGAGGTTGCTTTTAATTGGAGGATAATATTAACACATCGTGGAGTAGATGTTTTGTTATTAACCCTTTACGAACGAAGATTCTCTAAAGTATACAAAACATTCTGTAGATTCTGCCAAATCATACATCGAATGTCTAAATAATATAGAATAAGGAAATTATGTAAATTCGTTTGCAATTTATTATTACAAACATGAAAGTTTGATCTCAGCAACATGTCGACATTCAGCCGCAAAGAGTTAATTCTGTAGTCGTCTAATTTTTATGTCAAATGTGGTTAATTTGCTTATTGTCGGTTTGTAACTGGAATCCTATGTTGAATATTTGGATTGAGTAAACATTAAAAAAAATTATGCTTATATATATTCTTAAGAAATTGATATCTACATGTATACGAAATTAATATCTATATACATGTATATTTAAAAAATTAATAACTACATATATATATATTTTTTTTATTTTAATTTCAAGTAGCTATACGAGAAAAAAAATCGCACGAAATATTTCAAGTATTCCGACAACTGATGTCTGTTATTCTTAAGTACACGATATCCGTAGATCGAACCAAATAGTGGTCAATAAGACATCAATCACCAGACGTCAGAGATAAAGTTCTCAAATGCAAATGCATTTCAGAAATGTCGAAAGTCATTCCTTTTCTAAAGAAGTGGCTTCCAAAGCTACGGTTGGCGCAAGAGTGCCATTTTTCCGAATGGTCTTTGATATCACGCTGCATTGTATGTTTTCGGAGATCTGAAGGGTGTTAGCATTGAATTTTGCCGGTAGACCTTCCGATGTCGCGCTCGCAGCTGCAAGTAACGCATCTTGGAACTTCACGCACCCTGGGAATCCGAATTTATGGGTTTGTTTTCCCCGAACTAAAAGGTCTTTGTGAAATCTTTCTGCGTTCGTTTTTTCGGGGGATGCTGGGAAAAAGAATGTATGCTGACGCCTTACAAATTTCCTGATGCGTACGTTGATTTTACTTCGGACTTTTATACATCGTGGATTCGTATTTTATTTTCGAGTTTTGTGAAACTATTACATTTATGAATCAACTTCTTTTTCTTGATAGATTTTCTTTTTCTTACTTAACTTTCTTACTTTTATTATTATTCCCTTTGCTAAGAAAATAGAGGAATAATATTAACTGTATGAAAGTACCATTTTGTTAAATCAAAATTAAAGCAATAAAACAACATTAATTACATTTTACCAAATCAGTGTCTTCTGAATTGATAAATTCACCGAATATTCATAAAACATCGGAAACATACTTCCAACGGAAATTATAACGTCCGGTAGGAAAGTATAAGTATATTTGTTTTCTTTTTATAATCTTTCGTTGATGTTTCATTATATAAAAACCAACTGGAGATTCCAGCATCTTGTTTTTACTCTTCGTTGAGTATAATGTTTCTGAAATTATAAAAACTCCGTATCAAAATCTTTCTCCGTGTTTACTTAAGACTTCTCTCTTGTTTCCATAAAAAAAGGTCCAAACGTAAAAAGCAGGAAATTAATTTTTAAAAACATACTGCAGCGAAGTACTTCAGAGGAGGGAAGTGCATCCTTTACTTTCTCGGCATAATGTTCTTCTATTTTGTTTCTTTAAAAGTTACGATGTTCACCTGTAAATGCTTCCAAAGCTCTCTTTTCAACTTCGCCTAACTTCGATTCAAAGTTGTATCCTTGAAAAGCTTCGCATTAGGTTGTACCCTATGGAATTGTCATTTTTGCTGACCGAGATAAAAGCTACGTGTTTCCAAAGAAATAGTTTGATTCGAAATAAACAGTATTAGTTTGCAAGTAAGAAATTTTTCATTTATTTAATATTTCATTTGTTGTAAACCTTTCATCAATCTCATCTATAAGTCTATATTGAAATAGATTCGATATTCAATAGAATTCTAGTTGCAATATATTTTACTGATTTATATTATCCTGATTTATATTTCTTAAATATTATAAATTACCAAAATCGGATATCCAAATACAATTAAATTAAATGACTTCGATATAAATTCCGTAATAAAAATTCGAATAACTTAACACTGGAACTACCGAAGATATAATAAATTTAATATGTAGTCCTTATAAAAATTCTAACAATAGATTCTTTCCAGGGTCTTCATATATTCATTATATAATAGCATTCAAGTGAAACTATTCATTTTTAAAATCCTTTCAGATATTTAACACTTGAAGTATCAATAATTACGATATAAGAGAACTGAGACCCGCCATTTTGACGGGTGTGGTATTTCTACTGTTAAGATCACAAAAGATTAAGTCCCTAAATAAAATTTGAAATATGATTATAAATTAATTAAAGTAAATAATTCGATTGTAATATCCAATTTGGTTGAACTAGTAACTGTAACTTCAGATTGAAAATAAATAACGAAATAAATAAATAAATCGACCGAAAAGACAAGGGTTTTCCTGAAGTTGCGAGGTGAACATTTTTAATTCCTTTGAAATGTGCTACTGTTTAGCATGAAATGTAATTAAACTCGGTCATAGTGCGTAATCATTTTAATGTAATTAAAACGTAACGGGCTGTGTGAAATGCCGGCACGCACAAGTAAACCGTATATTTCATTATTTCATAAACAAGATAAGTCGTAAATGGAGCGAGAAACATCGATCAATATTTTAATATCCGCAACGACGTGTGTCCTCTAATTATGGCATACTAACATGATTCTGCTTTACGCCACCTCTATTTTGTTACTAGACAATAATTCGATTACGCTACCATTACAATCCGCTGTAAATGGCTTCGAAATTTGATTCTTGCCTGAGCTTCCTGTTAACAGAGTGAGATCGATTGTTCACGGCATGTTGCTAGCTTGCTGTATGTTGTACAAGATAACCAAGAATTAATTAATTTCATGTAATTTGACGCGACCCGCCCGATTGAAACGCGAGGGGCGATTTTATCGGAATTTTAAATTATTTTCGATTTTGCTGAATATGAAATCCGCCGGATTACTGCTTTGTGCGGAAAATTCGAGACGTGACCAGAATTATCGTTGTAACATTTTATCTATAAATATTGACGCGTCCGTTCACCCAGCAAATGTATTTTACGTGCATCTATTTATAGCTGCTCATATTCATCAGTTTTTAAAATATTTTATCTGATACTTTTCTTGTCTCTAAATTTTGGTACCATTTTCACCCTTCATGATAAATAAGTCGTGGAATTTTATTATACCGTTATGAACTAATATATATTTTTATAGCTATCCAGATGTGTAAATTTTTACAATATTTTATGAGATAATTTTCTTGTCTCTAAATTTAGATACCATTTTCACTGTAGAAATTGTAGTCATTCGCATAAATAACTCTACAAACTTGATTATATCGTTATAAACTAATATATTTTTTTGTAGTTGCTCAAACCCATTAATATTTCTAAATATTTCTTCAGATAATCTTTTCATCTCTAAATTTAGATATCATTTATAACCATTTTAAGTAATTCGCACAATTAACCGTATAAATCTTATTACATCGTTAAACTAATATCATCTTCTCTCATCGACCACTTGATTTCATATTTTAAATCAGCATGCCGCACTTAATAAAACATAATAAAATCAGACAAAACGCAACGCAGAATCTGATCGAACAAAAAAATCCAAAGTAACGACTTCACCTTTTCGTTTCGAAGTAATTTATCCAGTATATTCGTTTCGAGGGCATTAATATGATCGAACGTTTTCGGCGAATCCCTCCATTAGCTCAAATGGAATTCATTAGTCGCTATACTTGACGAACGTCAGATGCGTGGGAGTCCAACCGAAAAGCTTAATCGTCGAACACCTAATCGATACGGCCCCGCCACGGCAGAACATTGAGATTTCAAACGTGAAATCGCATTCGACGGAGACGACGGGAACTGTATAACCGAATACTCGAATCTAATAAGTTCAGAGATTTTAGATTGATACGTAACCAGCGGCAAAATTGAAATCTGTAATATCCTCCCCTGAATCGAGAGCAGGGTATCAAGTACAGTAATTCCGGAGCAGGGAGCCACTGTTCCGAACGACTCTCCACTTCAAGAAGTGAAATCAATGTGATTTCCCTTAAATAAACCGGATGCAGCAATAATTTACGTGATTTCAACCGCCGGTTAATGCACAGAGCGAATTTCAATGACACGAGACGACGTTCCTTTAATTATTTATATTGAATTTTTTACGAGATGCTTATAAAATTTCTGAAATATTTATATTAAAATGGAAATGTCGTTAACTGTGTCGTTTACATATATATATCTGTTGTATGTAATGTGATTATATAGATATATTGTGGGTACTTTTGAATTTATGTAAAGTACAAATAAATGAAGCCAGTATATTGAGATATAAGGAAATATTAAATTCAATATTATTTTTATTTCCAAGTTAACGTAATGAAGGCATTGATGATTGGTGATTATGTGAAATGTTTGTATTAAATTAGAAATTAATTAGCTGTGTCGTTAACATATGTATATGTGTATTTATACGTTTATTATACGTAATACGATTGTATAGAAGTCTTTATCAGAGCAATTTTATCTTTAATTAAAATTAATTGAAATTCATTACATTGTAGAGAATAAAAGAAAGTTTTTGTTTTTTAGATGAATTAGAAGATTTTTTATCTTATTGAAGTCTGAAGTTCTAGAAAATCTTCCATTCAGTTAAAATGAATTTTTCAAATGTTCTACATGAGATTTTAATTATATCTAGAAAATGTCATTCGAAGATAGAAGCTGTATGAAATCATTCTAGACAGTAAAATGTATTATAAAAACTGTAAAGTATGATAGAGGTCAAAGGATCATTTAAAATATTGTATAGAGAGAAGCCATTTGGAGTAATTTATGGTCAACAGAGGTAATTAAGGTGATGAAATTTAAGAGTTCATTCTGTAGAGCAGCCACGTACCACACTTGTTTTACGGAAGCTGGGGATCCTGTTCTGACACGTTCCGAACATTTAATCTGTTAACTGAGTCATGGTCGGTGGTAAAATCAATTGCATTTATAGCGGAATTAACTGCTGAAGTAACCGACGATAAAATTTGGAATAATATAGCACATTGCTATGAAGCCTCGGTACAGCAATCAATCTCTAAATTAACAATGTTGTTAATATACATATGTATTTATTCTCTGAAACCTAAGTTACCCATTATGAAATTAATTGTAATTTAGTACATTAACTGAATATAAAGTAATAAACATATTCGAAACTCTAATGATGAAATAGTATTGAAATTTATTCTGTTATTCTTAATTACACAACTTCATAAAAATAAAATATTTACTGATTATTCCAGCGTGTTTTTAAATTTTTGCATTACATTTTTCAAGTGTCTTTAATAAGATGTACATTTTAATGACCACGTGTTTTAATATCATCCTTCAATTTTTTTACTATCATTAAAATTGTAATAAATTAAATTCAAATAATTACATTTTTTAAATTATTTCGTGTAGATATATTGAGACTAACGTTAATAAATGTTTTAAATTAAATGAAGATTATAATGAACCATAATGTTCGTCATGTACGAAGGTAAAAGCAGCTCAATTGTTTTTACCACGAATTGGAAAGATGTATTGTGGACTTGAAAAAATATAAAAAAGCAGAATGTACTTTGCATGTACATAAAAATGTAAGAAATACATGCAAACATCGAGTTTTATTTCGTATTCATGAATTCTAAAAACTTCTTCCCTTTCACGAAGTTTATATAGACAATACACTGCTACTCGACTTATAAATTTCTTGAAAATAAATTCTGAATAAAGTGATGTCTTGAATCGGTCAAGAAATATTTGAAATAGTTAATGAGATCTGTTAATTCAGAATACGTTACAAAATACAATGGGTACCTCAAACATGATTAAAATATCAAGAACATGTAATTAATGTTCATATATGTATTTACAAAGGATCCCAGAGAAATCCTTTTTAATACTGAAACTTTACAAATAAGTAAGAGGTGCATTGAATTTTTTAAATATTCCTCCTTTCCCAAGATCCACTAAATCCGCTTTTCCCCTTTCACTTTGAGATTTATTTGAAATTCACGTACGATGAAATCCCTCCCGGAACTCAGAGATGATTTAAGAGATTATGTAAACAGTGAAATAACCACTGGCAAGCTCCATAAACCATCTTACCAAAAATACGTTCCCTGTTGGCGGAAAAGACAGATATTGGAAGATATGTTTTTACATTTACCGCAGTCAGAGTACGATTGTGTATGTATCCTTCAAAATGTAAATGTACAAAACACAATGAAGCAATCTAATCAATTTAATAGAATTTTAATGTTACTTTCAACTCGTTGAAACTCTTTACGAAGAAAATGAATTTACGTTTTTATAATAACTATCTTATAACTTCAACATTATTATAGCATATGCTATTATAAATTAATGAATGACTTATATTAACAGTTTTTTGCACGTTATCAGGGAATGATTATTGCATATAATTATTTAATTAATCGAAAGATTCGTGTTCTGTCTTAATTATTAATTTTAATTATCAATTTAGTATTAAACTGTTGTTTCTTAGTTATTAATATTAAATATCAATTTAGTATTGAACAATTACTCGAATAAGTAGGGCATTGTTGTACGTGTGTATTTACACTTAGTCGTGAGTGATTGTGAGTATGAGATCGTTTGCGAATAAGTTTGATTCAGTTATCGACTGTTTGAAACTATTTGCGAATATTTGACGACTGGACACTCGATTATTGCGAGACGTATCGTACGAAACTAACTTTTCGAGCGAGTGTTTGCTAACGTTTGAAACTACTTGGCAACCGACGAGTGACTGCCTTGTTTTACAAACAACAAGGTTCATCCACAACCGATTTCCATCGAATGCTTGTGTATGTTTCAACGAATCTCTTCGTATAAGAATTTGACGACGCGAGAGTTCGTTTGAGGCTAATTTTATTGATCAAATAAATTCTTCATTTATAGAAGAATGATTGAAAAGAAAATTTCTTTCTTACAGTCCCCAGTTTCAGAGACATTTAAAAAAATATATCATTAACTCTCATATATGGATGCTTTCACCTGTTCGATATAGATGATGGTCGATAAAAAAACAATATGTATCAAATATTTTTTTGAAGGCGTGAGTTTCGTTAAATTGTTAGTACTACAATTACACAATTTTAGCCATGAATTCCAAAACAGCACAAATTAACCAATCAACATTTCGATAAAATCAATTTTTTCATATTCATTCATTCGGTGATTCTTGCTACAAGCATTAGCTACACATACATTTTCATTACGTGTAGGTTGTTAATGTTATTAATAAATAGGTCGGAGGATGCTGAAAACAGTTACATTAATAACTAATACAAATGACGTTAACCTGTCAAAAATCTTATTTCTTCGCTACTTCGCTACTATTTTAAATTTTCATTGCAAAATGATATGAAGATTTGGCAAAAGTGTAATTTATATATTAAATTAGGGACAGCAATAAGCGTATCAATATATTCCCAGATTTCTACAGAACTCGTAACAATGAAAAATCAAGCGTGACTGTAAAAAGAACAAATTGTCCACATTAACACTAGAACAAACACATCCGTCAAAATAACAGGTTCTAATTTTCCTATTCCGTAATTACAGATACCTAAAAACTTTTTTGAAATTTTTCTATAGAAACCCTAAGAGTGCATCTACTTTAATTAATTGTCAATTCAGATTGCGTGGTGTTAAATCAATTTCTTTAATCATTTCTCAACGAAACACTTGTATCTTTTCAATGATTACAAAAAGAAGACATCAAGAATAGGTCACTTTGAACCATCCGGTAGTTTCAGTGTTAATCTCGGTAGTTCCAGTTAATGAAAAACCGTATTGTCAGCGAAACTGGCGATACCGCAATATTCTGTTTCAGAATTCACGACATCAATTGTATAGAAGTTTAATGTAAAACTTACGATGTGCTTTATGTGCTCCGGCGCAATCCCGTTAGTTAATATCTCTTCCATCGGGCCGGTGACACTAGGTTCTTGAGGTGGTGGTGTGTCGACGAGGAACGGAGACCTGGGCGGTTCTTCGCTCTGCGTTCTGTGAAGAGGTTCGTGTTCGGTTTCCTCTTTTCCGGTTGTCCCGGCTTGACCACCGCCCAACGGCGTGCCCAGTTGTCCGGCCTCCGAATAACTTTTCGTTAATTTTCTTCCGTTGAACAGACCGTTGGTCTGCGCCCCCTGCGAGACCATTTTCACGCGGTGTATCGTCCTGGGGCTGAGCCGGACAGGAACTCGTCCTCGAAACACATCCGGCATTTCCGTTTGGGTTGCTTGAGTCTTCATCGCGCCGCGTTTCGGTGGCTTCTCTGAAACGAAATTTAAGCTAAATCGGCTAAAATCGTCGGACAACCATGTGGATACGAATAAGGGTTGCTCGAATCTGGAATAATTTTTCTGAATTATATAGAGGAATATTGTATATGCAACTGAGATGGTGAATAAATCGCTAAATCAATTTTTATGGTTGTAATGTTAGAAAGTAATTTGTGTGTAATTGATGCGACTAAATGTATTCATAGATCTAGTGAGGTAATTGAACAAGGGCTGAGGTAGTTGAATAATTGTTTCGAGTTATTTGAAAGAACATTATATATGCAACTGTGATGGTTAATAAATTTTTTTTTGTTTCTAATTTAATAATTTTTGAATTTTTATGCTTGTAATGTTAGAAAGTAGTTGGTCTGTAATTGATGTGATTAAATGTATTTATTGATATAATGAAGTAATTGTTGTATAAGTTTGGTGTTATAAAGTAATATTTTATGAGATTCGTACGTGTCATGGATTACATTTTAGAGAATTCTATTATTTCACTACTAATGAAATAGTGAAACTATTAAAACTGAAACTGAAATATGTCTTTTATTTACTACTCAAAGCCGAAGGAGTAATCTATCAAATTTATTAGTTAATACTGCAAATTAGAATATAACACTAGGTATTTATAGCATAAACAAACATTAAAAAATGTGTAAAATACAAAATTTAATCAAATTCAAAGCAGTTACATTTAATTTCTGCAATTTCTAACTGTTTAGACTATAAATTGTAATATGAAGTTTTCAATAACTTTGTCTCGCAATGTTTAAACACAGACCAATTCAAGAAATAAACTTCTGGCGAATATATGGTACACTGGCGTTTAAAAAAAAGTTATAACTGCGCTTTTCCACTGTACTGATGCACCTGCGAGGAGAATCGTGTCATAGGGCGATAAGGGTTGTTGAATCATGCAAAATTTGCCTGTATGAATTTTTCCTAGCTTCGCTCGGGACACAACTGTACATCCGCCCCGTTGCTAGAATCACTCTGTATAATGAGCGTCATGCACTTGTGTGCGTTCATTGTCTTCAAAGTTAACACGGTGGGCTAAAAGGCTCACCAAAGGGACCCTCTTATGTTCTTTAAACAAACAGGCGGAGGATATTCACTTATTTACGTTCGAAAATAGTTTCGATTACTGGTAACATTATTGTATAAACAAAATTTCATTTTCATTTTATAATTTAGTGAAAACATAAAATTATCATACGCTTGTATTTCTACCAAAATAACCATTTTGCTTTTAACATTATTACTCTTAAATGGTTAAAAAACAAAGATAATAAAAATTCAGCAGAAATGGAAGATTCGGCGAAAGTATTGTAGTATTTTTCACCGTCCCATATTTTTCGAAAACTATCATTAATTTTATAATTAAATGATTCTGAAATACATACACAATATTTACGTAGCGTGCATCATAATTTTATGCGCCTACACCTTTTCAAACAAACTTCAATCGTAGAACATATACACTAAGCACAGGTTTCCTAAGCGTCAAAAATCTACATCACATATTCCCATCAATTAAACATTCCAAAGTACTGAAACTTTGTTCATATTAGAACAATCTAATCTCAATCACAGTTCAATCATTATTTAAGCCTTAATTCAAAAGCCTTTGCTACACATAAATTGTACAAAACGTTATTTTCGTTTTTATGTATTATGCTTGTAGTTTCAAATATATTTCCCATTTCATTATATTAAAGCTCCTATTATTAACCAATATTCCGTTGTTTTACACAGAAGACGAGTATTACCAAAAAACTGTGGACCATTAGGGGTTAAAGCAGACACGATGCGTAATACCAATATCTGCTACTACAGACGGCCATACGACGGTATATAGTAAATAGTCGAGAGAAGACTAAAGGGAATATTAGGATAATGGCAGGATTGGCTTTGTAGATGCCTATTGAGTTGCTCCCTGCATTAGCACTGCGCAGTATGTCACATATCGAAGACGACGAAGAGGCTACCTCCGATAGGAAATTAACCAGTACGTATTATTGTATTAAGATGCGCACTTGCGCCGCTCGCAAAGATCAGATACCCCGGCTGTAATCGAATCAAACTCAATTGTCCGCCCGATGTCACTTTCACCCTGTTAAGTACATTGTTTGATCCTGTTTGAGTAATCGGGGGAAAGTATGCGTTTCACTAGTTCCCGCGACAGAACGGAAGATCGAGCAGTCCCACGTAAGCCAAGAAACTTCCGGAACTTAAGTCATTTATTTCATCTTCCTCAAATCCACTGTTACTGCTGTGTTTCGCAGAGAGAACGTTCCACCCTTTGCCCTATGACTCACGAGCGAAGTTATCGAACCCGGAAATTAAAAAAGTTATGGAATTTTTGTGTGTAAGTAGAATCAGTCAAATCTAATGCATTGTAATCCTTTTTCACGCTGAATTTCACTTTAATGGGATGAAACTGCCACTTGAAATAAATGAAAATTTTTTATCTTAAATTTTAATTTGCAATTTTGTAGACGTGGAAGGATAATGTATTTTTTGGTAAAACTTTATTTCGCTACCTCTTACCGTTCTCAAGATAATCCATGGGAAAGAAAAATTTAGGTGGTTTCACCCCTTCAAAGTTTCATTGTTACACTTGAAAAGACTTGTCGATAATAGTTTACTGGAGAAATAAACAAATTTCATGGTATTTTTGTGTCTAAATTGACTTGAAACCATACAAATAAGTGTGCGATTTTATTTGATAATAGTTATTTAGAGGTTATAAGAACTTTAGGAATGAATAGTTAATTAAATTGTAGTCTCACAATTTCACGACTCAATGTACAATGCAATCAAAGTCTATTTATGCTCTCTATTAATAGATTCAGACTCGTTTATCTCGTTCGTACTTACATTCGAATACATTCATCTCATTCGTGCACTTTCCAGAACATTCTATCGTTTCCACGTGTTACATACATATTATATACTGCAACTTTGTTTGGAACATTCTAAAATTATTGCTTTTTTGAAATATTGATTTTGATCCTTTGCACTCGGGCAATGACTTTCGGTCACCACTTGATTTGATATAGTGAAATTATAAGTTCATATATAATATTAAGCTTGGTATAATCCATGGATGTGTGAAATATTGAAATAAAATGGCTTTGTTTCTTGATTTATGTAAGATTTCTTATTGGTTACTTTCAAAGAACATCGCCTATATCTTATCGGAAAATGTTGAATATTTCTAGTGGAAAATTTTCGAGTGTAAAGGGTTAATAACTCGTTATTATGTTTTTAGAATCCTCCAAATATCTCATAAGGACGATACACATGTACACTTGATCATCCACTCATACACAAAGAAAACCATCGTCCCTACATGAGTAAGAAGAAAAATAACATTTTTATTATTATAAATATATTATATATTAATCCTTTGCTAATATACCTGAACTATGCTGGACAGAACAATTCCACCGTTATAATTGTGTAAAATGAAAATAATTAAGATATAAAATGATAAATCATAAATAAAAGTTAAAAAATTAAAATATTTGTTATTAAAAGAATTTATGTAAGATAAAGGTCTATTATTGTATTAAATTTATCTAAAATTTAAAAACAAGTCATAAACTTCGTTTGCACATAAATTTGATATGACTAAGGGTTAACAAAGCGTATATAATGAATATAAGATGTGTACCTGTTATAATGTACATAGAATTTTCCATAAGAAAATGTTAAAAGTTCGTGACAGTCTTTAGAACTGTTAAACTGTGAAACTGTGAAACTGGTTCTATGAGATTGACGTTTAAAGGAACGTTACTGAAAGTAAATCAATTTCATCATTAGTTGAGAGTTTTAAATTAATTTAACTTAATATTAATTTAATTGCGTTAACTACCGGTTATCAGCCAGTAACGTATGTATAGACGTGACTTTGCTTTGTAAGTGATTAGCTGCAAGCGTCATAATTATGCCTTTCGTTATGACAAGACAAAGTTATGTTATAAAGTTTCGATATTGATTAAATTCAATGTTTTACTTTGTATAAGAACATGCAGAAATTTGTATAATTCTATTTAAAACAATGCCAGTGATCCTGATACCATGTTTAAAAAGTGATCTACAAGACAATTTTCGTCGTCGTTCCATTAAAGTAAATGCAAGTGAGATCTCATATTGAATACATGTGACTACGAATAGTTTCGAATTTTACTATTCTCAAACCTTAATAGTTTCCAATATTTATACTTTTAGGTTTTAATATTTTCACATGTAAATATTTTCCAATTAAAATATTCTCGAATTTTAATATTTTTCAATTTAAATATTCTCGGACTTTACTATTCCCGAATATGAATATTCTCGAATTTTAATGTTTCCAAATTTGAAGGAAAAGCCAATAAAAATTTACCATGGTAATAACGCCGCCTGCAATCTTACATTTCGAGTTTCCGAAGGCGAGCCGGGGCTTACGTAAAATAAGAAACGCGGATTCCTTTCGGCTGAGAAATTACTCTAGAAATACGATTCATTCTGCCGGGCGTAATTCAACAACGTTCCTTGGAAATTAATTTCGGAAGCAAATCTAATGCTTTTACGGATTCAGCCTCGTGTAACTTCCGCATTAAGTCTACTATCAAAGCTACGAAACTACTCGCAGTCGTTATCATGCCCAACACGAATTCAATATCTAGACCCCGTCGGGAAACCTATATTGGCAATTTGGTTGCTAATATTGGGCTAACTGCCGACTCCTGGGCAAGAAGATAATGCTCGAGGAGGACTGATAATCTGCGGACTGTGTACAGAGCAATCGAAAAACTCGAGTCGTTTCTTTCAACGTGATGCACCGGAATCTCGATTATTCGAACTAATTGGGGCCACGGATAATCAATTCTGTCGGATGACCAGGCAATTGAACTTTCGTAAGAAGAAAAATTATTAATTATCCGTTCAAGTATTTTTACGAGTAACGACTATTGTTGCCATTCTTTCTGCCTAATTTGATCAACTTCAAGTAAATTATTGGCATTTGAAATCTTAAGTATCGTTTCTCAAGTTATTATATGAAAATACGATTATTTCGTGTATGTAGTATTTAATGTAGTTATTTACTTATATTCAGATTCATTCGTCGCAATGAGGAATACTAACTGTTTACGTATTTATAGTACTTTAAAATATCTTAAATAAATTGTTGTGTAGTTACTATAGATTTGGGAACTTAGTAACTACTTGTTTGCTATAGTATGTTCATAAAAAACAATGTTTATATGAGTTTAAGAGTTGAACAAGCCAGTGCTAAATATAATTTATAGAAATCAACTAATATTTGTATGGAAGTTGATGGTTTAAGAATGTTTAAAATGTCAGTTTTTTGCAAGCAGTTCTTGAGTTAATTTTGCGAAACATTAAAATTTGGTGAAAAATGGATTCAAGTTTCGGTCGTGTATCCCACTTACTTGGAATAGCTCTAAAATAACTTTTTTATATCAAAATCAATTATTTGTGAATTTGCATTTTCAACTGCAGCTGTAACCGTTTAAAATATTTTCCAATAAAATTATACCACTTTGTAATGGAGTTAAAATATTTGGTAACATAACTATACCATTTTATAAAAGAATTAAAATATTTGTCAATAAAACTCTACCACTTTGTAATGGAATTAAAATATTTTTCAAATAAAACTATACTACTTTATAATGAAATTGTTAAACTCTCAAAGAACAGTGTCTTTTGTACACATAATTATGAACGCAACGCAAGTTTCCTTTTTATTGTCAACCGTTATTTAAACATTAAATGCAGACATCTAAAAAAATTTCCAGGCGCGAATCCCGTGAATGCTTTAACTTGATACTGTAATGCGTAACTTTAAGAGAAGAGACTTCTGCCTACCGTTCTATAGCAACACCTTTTTAAAGAGCATTCTTAGTACAGCGAGGATCTATTTAGCGAGAGAGGGAAGTGTGTACGTGCTTTTGAAGAACGACCGAGGCTACGCGTCTCGTTGAAAAGTCAGTCTAGAGTCAGCTTTGAAAGAGTGTGAATACGTGAAAATTGACCTGTGAATTGTGAGATTCAGCGAAAGGTAGAAGAATTTCTTGTGTGTGTTTTTTGAAGTAGCAGACTTTCGTAGAAAGAGCGTTACATCTGTGTAACAAAATCACTTGTGAACAGCGATAAATAATTGCAAGACATTGTACAAGATGGTAGAAGAATGATCGATAAAATTGTTTAAAAGTGTCTGGCATGCTGGAGATAAAAATGTGAAAAATATTAACACGAAGAATTCCTAATTTCTAAATGTATTTTTTGCATACAATAAATAGCTACTTTATTGGACATCTTTAATATTATCGTAACAACTAATTTCTTTAATAATATACCCAGTGAACTAAATTTTGTTAAAGTTTGTAAGAAGCAAATAAATTAAAATAACAGAAACTATGATAAATCTTGATCTTTTAGTTGGAACTTCGTTAAATAAATTTTGCTGATTTATGGGATTTTTATAGGTACCTATTTGTTTAGAAGACGTGTTAGTAAGTATATTATTAGAAATATACAAATTAGTCCACAAATAATGACAATTTCGTTGGTTTTCAAAAGGATATTACTTAATCGTTGTTATGTAACTTTTTCTAGTTGAAAATATATTATTAATAATATTACTTACTCTGTCAAAAACGTGTATTCAGGTATACATGTAAATATAGAAGCTGTTTGCAGAATTACTTTTCTCGTGTATTAGTATCGCATACCATTAATATTAATGTTGTATATTATTTTATTATATTATAATTATAATTTATTATTCAATGTAATTTATGAAAATTTAAAACTTTCATCGGGTTATTTTAATTACACGAATATTTTCATTAACATATACAAATTGATTTAATTATCTATAATCCATAAGCAAAACAATTATGTAAGTATCTCCGTCGCATATTTGAACAGATATTTCTGACAGCATAATACTTAATATTAATAAAAAACAATAATACTAACAAATAAAAACTCATTAACAACTTCAGAGCATTTAAACCTTTAGTAACAAAAACCTAGATACCCCACTTCTTCAAAAAAAGAAAACTGTAATAATTTTAATCTTACTTTTTATAACTTCAAGTGCAAATAATTAATATTTACATTTTCTTTAATCATCGATGTACATCATTGTCTACGATCTGCTCCCATTTTTCAATTAATTTTCACTATTTTCAAAATAGCATTACAAATGATCGCTACAGACATGTTATACAGACTAACTTTATTTAAGAAATAAAATACAAACATTAACAAGAATAATGATAATACTAATAATAATAAAATAATGTGTTATAATATTAAATGACTACTAATCCAGAGCTAACACAAATGTCCAATCAGCGTGACTTTCTTAGGAAACAAGGGTGTTCTATATAATACGTAAGAATATACCAAACTATTTAATAAAAAGGTAGATAAGAAACAACATCGCTTATCGGATAATCTAACATGTCACCTTCACAATTTTCTACCCATTTACGTGTCACGAAACGCCCACTAAATTGACCGTACATGCAAGTTAGTTAGGACTGTCACGAGAGAAGGAACTCACCGAGAACAACAACACGCGGCTCGCTGGCGACGTAGGGGTGCATCAGGGGTAAGGTCGAAGGTAGCATCGCATTCTGCATCGTTGGTTGAGAATCTATGAGCCGTTCCTGGTTCTGCGGTCTCGGAGGACTCCTGCTCCTTGGAACGTCAAAGGACGTGAGGGTATGCGACCTGGCGAAGCTCACGTGCTTCGTTTTCGGGGCTTGAGCAGCGGGCGGCGGGGGTGCGGGCGGCAGCACAGGTCGAGGACCTTCCAATTTCGTTGATTCCTCATCCTCTGGAAGCCAGGTGTACCTTTAATAAAAGAAACTTTGAAAAACTTTCCCTACATTTATTACGGGAATATTCTAGTCTAACCTATTTGCATGTTCACCTTAAATAGGAAGCTTACTTTATAAATTGCAGATGCTCCACCGAAAGTCTTTCAACTTTTTGATTGCAATTAATCTTCTTCAATAGAAGAAACTTTGAAAATCTTCACTTATATTTGTTACAGGAATATTCTAATTTATTCCATTTGCACGTTCATCCTAAATCTGAAGCTTACTTTATAAATCGGAGATGCTCAACTGAAAGTCTTTCAAGTTTTTGATTGCAATTAACCTGTTTCAATAAAAGAAACTTTGAAAAACTTCCTTTATATGTGTTACAGGAATATTCTCATTTATCCAATTTGCATGTTTGCTCTAAACGTGAGGCTTATTTTATAAATCGGAGATGCTCAACTGAAAGTCGTCCAAGCTTTTGATTGAAATTAATCTGCTCCGATCCGATATAGCCGAGCAACACATAGACAACTAAAACTAGCTGTGTGCGAAATATTCCGCTCTTGGTGATAAGCAACGGTTATTGTGTGTGGATTATTCCACTTAATGATGCAAACGTGTTCGGGAATAGAGGGTTAGAAAAAGTGATTTCTACTTTTTCAATCTGAATTTTTCTTTACGGTTTCCTTTCTTTCAGTCAATTTTTTATTGAGAAGTAAAAAATCTATTCTTATGACCACTTTATATGATTTGCAAAATTGTATGAAGAAATATACATTTCTCGTTTTGTGTTAGCAGTATGAAAAACTCTCAGTTGTAATATTATAATACTGAGTAATAAAAGATATTTATGCTTATAATATTGCAATGTTGCGAGTAACAGTTACTTATAACAAGAATACATCTGTATAAAATTATATTTTCTGGATTCTGATTAAAGTCGTTTTTGTATTACGCGTTTTTAAAATTGTTGATAATTTATGCGATAATCTAAACAGCACAACCTAAAAATATTTGATATGTATGGAAAGTGTGAAGTTAATAATGATAATCATATTATGGATGAATTTTTATTTATCTCTCTAATAACCTGCTTCAAAAACGACATTAATTATCACTAGACCCGATAGATGTAAAAGTTCAAATCTGCAACGTAGAAGTAGTCTATGAAGAAAGTAATGAGATGGATTTTTCCCTTCGAAAAAATTGGCAACTGTACTAAAGAAAGGTTGGCATCATATGGTAGCCACAACCTTGCTTTAGATTTATTAAAAACCACGCCCGGTTTTTGTTAAAAACTTAGATTCTACGATTATTTTTCGAATATTAATATTAAACTCAAAATTTTGTCATAAAATTTGAACTTAAAATATGATATAATAACAGAAACGTGTAAGAAATTGAAAGAGTGTTATCAAGTCTACCGAAGACAAGGATTCCTTTTCTTTCAATTAGTGTAAATAATTCTTAGCAAACGTAGAAACAATAGAAGACAAACCCTTTTCAAAACGGCCATTACACAAAAGAATGTGAATGTGGAATAATAGACGTTCGAGATATCCGAGGAGACAATAGGACGAAATAAATGAAAAGTCAACTATGAGTACAGGTGGGTCTCGAGTAATGCGAATTTAAATAATACGATATACGATCTAGTGTGAATTATAAAATATATATATTACCAGATTGTATTTAATACGAATAAAAATTCAACTGGTTGGAGAAACTTCTTCCATCGATACATTGTTAAAATATTTTGTAAAATAATGAACACGATTATTTTATCATAAACTGATAAAACACGTATGAAAAGGTACATTATCCTTAAAAAGGTTATATCCTTGTCAAATAATAAAATAATTTATTTATTATTATAGCAACGATTATATTTCTCAAACTTTTCCTCAAAGTTCTATCCAAACTATGATCTTAATGCTAGAACTACTGCATTTATCAAAATGACGGGTTTCAGTTGTTTTATTTCGCAATTATTGATATCCTAAAAGTGTTATATCCGAAATAATTTTAAAGATAAATAGTTTCACTTGTACACTATCATAAATATACGAAAAAATCGAAAAAATCTATTGTTTGAATTTTTATAAGGATTACAGTAACTCCTAAACGTTACAGGTATGTTACTTCAAAGTCACACGTGCCTACACATGGTTAATTTCTCCTTAACCCATTCCTGATTTCTTCGTTTCGCAATTATTGAAATGATAGCAGATGTTTCTCTGTGCAAAATTATGAAATAAACTGATGTTGTAATACGCAAACTGAATTATAATTAATTAAAGCCTCAATACATGCACTGTTGAAGTTGCTGCAGAGAAATTTCGAAAAGTCTATTTAACTGCTCGATAAGTTTAGTGTTAAAATATAAATTAATATTAATACTTGGAACACTTCTCCATTGTGATATTGATTATCATTATCTGTCTAAACGCATCGTTTAATTTTTACTGCAGTTTTGATATCGAAATGCACCCAACGGAAGGAAAGAGATGCGGTTAATCTGGCAAACGCGCGTAAAGTACGTCAGTATTCATAAAAGAGCATGTGAAATCCATATGCATAATTCTGCATAGTGGGTCTGGCGGGGTTGAACAGTTGTAGAATACCTCTTTATTCATCAAGGCTCTGTGATGTGCCAGATGAGTGCCAGACCTCTGATGACCTAGCTTTCGGAATACTAGTGTTAAAATATTTACGCTCGCTCGCGAAAGCATTTCAACACTGGTACATTCGTAATTGTAATGTAGACAAATTTCACAAAGTAATGTTTTAGAAATAATTTCTTTGTTACGACGAGTGTGCCGGTGCAAACGAAATTTTTGTTTCTGGACGAACTCGAACGACACGTGCCCACAGGGAGAAATGTTAAGGCACGTGAGGAAAATTAATGGTCGTCACGTTTGAGAGGTGAATTTACGCTTTCTAATTGATGAAAATTCGTCATAAAAGAGTTTATACTATTATTGCGTAGTCTTCCACCCTATGAAATTTACCATTAACGTTATCTTTTTTCTTCCAAGATTTATCATTGTATAGGAAAGCAATTAATATTACTGTTATCTTCACAGTTTTTATATAGTTAATATTTTTATTGAAAAAATATACTCGGTAGAGATGTTATAAATGCACACGAATTTCAGTAGATTTTTCACATTAAACAGGAGAAAATTCAGTGCGATATTGCTGTTGAAACTTTCAACTACAATTCCAGCTACGAGAAAATTTTTACGTCTAATTATCTAGTTTGGCTAAAAATTTAATGTTACGCCTTGTATTAAATATATATAACAATAGCATTTGCTATGTTTAAAGATCACCCAATACATTACATAAATAACATAGCAACATAATCAATATATACCCACTCCATTAGAAACGATTTATGTTTTATTCAGTCGTTCGTCAGTCAATGCAGTTGTTATAATTGTATTTCTCATATTAAATAAATCTTATTTATAAAAGACAGAAAATAAATAAATGTTTACATTATTTTCTAACGCTGCCTACATTAGAAATAACCACATCTTCTCGTGTGATTCGATTCATAGAAATTCGACTGTATCTTCGTAATCCATGAAAAAGTATTTTAAATACGTCATCCGCCCCGCCAAAAATAATCCTATGTCAGAGAAATACGGAGTGTTGTATACCTTCTGTGTATTTAACGTAAGACATAAGATTAAATTTTACAAACTAGAAAATTAGATGTAGAAAATGTCCACGTAGCTGGAATAGCAGTTGAGAGTTTCAAAAGCAATATCGCACTGAATTACCTCTTATTTAGTGCGAAAAATGTAATTAAATTTATATGCATTTACAGCATGTCTGCTGAGTATATTTATTCAATAAAAATTATATAAAAACTGTAAAGATAACTATAATATTAATTGTTTTCCTATATAATAATAAATCTTGGAAGAAAAAGAAATAACGTTAATGTTAAATTTTATAACTAGATAAGTATAATATAATTAGATAGTAAAGATAACATTAAACTCATATGAACAAATGTTATTCTACATTTTCGACTGATTCTTCACAGAGAATCATCTCTTATCCGGTTATACCATCAGTTATATGACACCCGGTATATAGAGCAGCTAGACAAATAATTGGTATCAATGACTGGGGGAAAAATGATACGATTAGATTTTTCTTGGCAGGACTGTTCAGATAAAAATACGCCGGTGTCACGGGTAGTTCCCGCGCGTAGATACGCGTGATTTGATTATCCGTTTAGTCGATAGACATTTATTTTTGCCCGGAGACGCTCGCTTTTTATTATTACGCCGCAGTAACCGGGAGACACGCCGCGAAAGAGACAGACATTGTCGCTGAATGATGGCTACATTCTCATTTCCATTGTGCCAACCGAAAGCCGATCACACGTGTGACAGGTATTATCTTAGGAAAAGTGGGTGACGCCGCGCTGCTTCTACGACGCTGCAACAACGACCTAAATAAATTGCATTTAGATTGCAGCCCCCTTTCGAGGATATGTTATGATTTTACCTTTAGCGCTTGACGCCTGTTCCTGATTCTAATGAAATCATTTTCTGTTTGTGTTTTCGCGTGACTTCGATGCCACCACTAATCCTTTTTTTCTACACGATTCTGATTTAATACGAATTGTTTTGCTCTTGTTACCAGATTTGTTTAATTTAACGCCAATTATTTTTCTTTTCTTGTACGATTTTGATTTAACACGAATTATTCTTCTATTTTTCCACAATTGTGATTTAACGGGAATTATTTTTCTCTTTTTAGACGATTTGTTTGATTTAACAAATTAGATGAAAAATTTATATTCCATTTCTACGATTTGGACTGGTTTGACACAATCACCAGAATTCTAATATGAAGTTTCGTATAGTTTATTCTATTATTGTATGGATTTCTTAGGTTTGAAACCAACCTCTATTTTTCTATAGGTACAGTACATTCTTTTACGCGAATTTTTTGGATTTTGCTATTAAATTATTTGATTGCAATGATTCCATTTAGACCTATGAAAATGGCAATTTTACATAGTACAATTCGAATAAAATCCAATCATCGCGCACAAAAGCGTGCAAGTCATCGATATTTGTTCTTTTTAATTCTTCAGAACACCTTACATAAAAATAGACGATCACGTGACGTATTTATATCTGTAGTTTTCGCACCGATGCTCCAATAACGTGCAAGTATGTTCAGTAACTTATCCCGAGAACATAATTTTTTATCGATCGTCCACGCGGAACCTTGAAACAACGTGATTAAAGCTGCAGCATGCCGTTCTCCACAATTAGAAATAAAAGCAACCATTGGTCGCGTTATCGGGCCAGTAATCGCTTACTTTTTCTCTAGTAACTGCCGGTTGTAACTCCGAGGAAGCTCTTAAACACCTCGTCTCGAACAAGCACATTATCAATGTTACGATGTTACGCATCAACCCTTTGAAGACCAACGAGAGATATATCGCTCCTACATACAATTAAAGTGTTCTTCTAAAAAAACACTGTAAAGTAATTCCATATGAGATGGCTCGATTTTATTTAGATTTTCAAATATCTATATTTTCAATTGTTTTTAGTGGTACATTATATTTTGCACGAAGACCAATTTAACTATTTTCCGTTTATCTATTTATTTTCATAAATATATATTTTCTATTACTTCTTAAGTTTTTAATTATAATGATATTTAAGATGCGACAGTTCTTTTAGTGGTACATTATATTTTGCACGAAGACCAATTTAACTATTTTCCGTTTATCTATTTATTTTCATAAATATATATTTTCTATTACTTCTTAAGTTTTTAATTATAATGATATTTAAGATGCGACAGTTCTTTTAAAAAAATTGATACAATAAGTGATAAAAATTATATATTTTCTTCCTTCTATCCTTATCGCGTGGTGCGCAGTTTAAATGCAATTTTCCTTTTGTAAGTACACCGATAATAGCGGTAATCCATAATATTAATAACATTGAAGGATGACGTAATTATGACAACGTTCAACGTAATGTTAGGTGACTTCATCTTACAGAAGGTTCATTCTTGTCACAGAAAATGTTATTTACGAATATTAAGCAGTTTATAGAAGTTGAAAATATTTATATTTATCAATTATTTGTGAATATAAATATACCGATGATATAGTAATTTTAGTCTGTCAAGTGACATTTGATCCTTTTATTTATTTATTTCAGCCAAAGAATGTACAAACCAGTTTAGTGACCTATTGTTATACAGTCTTCTGAAGTTTAAAGAGTTGAATGAGATAATGAACGTGGTGGCAATTGTACTGTAGCAATTGTAATTAAATACTGAGTATTCTATACAGACAACACAATGATACTAAGGACAGTAGAACAATACTAAGAATAATACATCCAAAAGAGAATTTATATCATGCCATTTAGAAAAGTTCAAGTAATCTTGAAACGAACGATGAGTTCTCGCTCATTAAAAATTATTACCACCATATTATAGCCCCCTTGTTACCGTGCCACTTTTACAAATAAAAAGTTTTTTCGTATTTTTAAACGCGCTGTAGGTATTCCGGGCGAATAAAGTTGTTAACTCAATTCGTAGTTTGAAGTTAGTTAGTTCATACACGATCTCGTGCTTAACAAATATATGGCATTGCGTTAGAACATTAATGAAGCGATATTAAATATTTTTAATCTTTGATACAAGTAGATAGCTTTCCTTGTTCGTCTGATGACGTTGCTTCTGAAAAGGTCTAATCCTTCCTTAACTTCTTATCTTATAATAACGTGTTTGACTCGTGGTGAGGATTTTAAACAAAATTTAACCAGCACAAATATTACTCGATTCTTTTAATTTCAAATTAAATATTATTCTTCTGTTATTTATTGTAATCAGTAATCCTTTTTTACACTAACCTTTACTTTCTCTAATGAAGAAACCCTTCACAGTATTGGTTCTGTAATATTTATGTTTGTAAATTGTTTTCTGTTAAATGATCTTGTATAGTGAACAATATGTAACAATGAAACATCTAAAGAATGAGAAGGATGAGTTTAAGTTTCCTAACAATGCTCCGAAATGTTTTCTACCGTAGCTTTTGCTGCACGTAATCCTGCATTACCTTGCAGAAACAATTTCCAAGTTTTTACACTACAGTAATATACTCGTGATGAACTCTTTACAGTAATAGATGCACTTCGAGTTTTATTTTAACACTCTGATGAATGAAACTAATAAAAAATAATTAAAAACTTGAGCACCAAGTGTCTCCATAGCTGATCAAGAAAAACTACACAATCTTTTTTGGTCGCTTAATAATTAATTATAGAATAATTATAGACAGCGAATAAGAAAGAAAGAGACGTCGAATGATGGGGATATGGTGGGCATGACGACGTTGCAGTTATGAAGAGGTCCCCGATTTCGCAATTATCCAATGTTCACTGTATTACGTTCCATATTAGTCGCTGCGCTATCTAACATTCATCTCATTGCTAGGACACCGTTCGTTCTTCCCTCCAAACAGCCATCAGAACAGCGCGTTTTCCTCGGAAGCCTGAACCCATTCGCAATATGTTTAAATAACCTCGCAAGTGTTAGTGAAATCTAATTTATACAGCCCAGTACTGAGCTAGCGCAGTTGGTGGCTTCATACAATTTTTTGCATAAAATCAACCGTAACTATTTTTCTTCGGTTATATGACTTATATATGATCGTATAAACTGGCCAAAAGTTCGGGACCGATACATCGGTTAAAAGAAAAACTTCCATATTAAACAACTTTAATCGCAGAATTTTTGCCTATGATTAGTGAAAATCTGTGTGAGCAAGGCGTGCGCCTTTCAATCTGACCATTCAGACAAGAGTGTCAGGTCGTCAGTACTTGACGATACATATGATTTGATTGGGTAAAAATTAGAACTCACCTCTTCGGATCGGGCACGGTGCAGAAAGATCTGGGTCGGCGCCGAAAGTAGGAACTCTTGATCCAGTCGGCTTCATCCTCGAAGTCGTAACGATAGAGGCCCCTCGGATAGGTCGGGTGAGGCTGACGGTACATGATCTGGTAGGGCCGGCAAGGGTAGGGGGCGTCGCAGAGGTTCTCATCGCTGGGCACGCTTCTCACGCAGGCGGATAGGATCGAGGTGCGCGCCGAGCTGCATGGCGACGGCCCTTTCGTCGACAGACAACCGAAGAACCCGCCCTCGGATTTCTCGACAGCGTCCAATTGTCGACTGGTAATGCAGTACTGCTCTTTGATGTCCTCCCGAGAGTAGAGCGGTGTCGCACGGCGATCCCAGTCGATGCTAATGTTGCCGCCGGACGCGCCGAAACCGCCGTGCACGTCCACCTGGGTCGAGACGTCCACCTGTCACGCACAGAACGTTCAGTTCTAATTAGTGGAAAATCGATGGAGGACACGTTCGCTTCGTTTGATTGATGGCGCGCGCCCGGGCTATTGTAAAACTGCGTACAGTTAGGAGATCACTTGATGTCTAGCGGGACGGTACAGAGGCAAGAGGAATCTCTCGCTGGGAATTTTGTTTATGGTTTTCATCGGTTACGTGTAACCGTATTGAGCAATAGCAAATTAATATTGGCAAGGGGACGGGAACAGATGAAATCTGATCAATTAGACCTGCATTCCTCAGCCTAGCCATCAAGTGATCTCCTAGCAGTACTATTGGGAGATCACTTGATGCCTAGCGGGACGTCACAGGGGCAACGAGGTCTCTTGCTATGGACTTTGTTTATGCTTTTGATTGGTTACGTGCAACTGTATTGGCCAATAGCAAATTGGTATCGAACATCAGGTAAGGAAAGATGAAAGCTGACCAATGAGATCTCAAACTCTAACCATTCCTCAGCCTCGCTATCAAGTCATCCCCCAATTATACTTACTGTCCAACCAGAACAGGAACGGCACAGAGGCAAGATGGGTCTGTCTTTAGGAATTTTGTTTATGATTTTGATTGCTTACGTGTAACTGTATTGACGAATACCAAATTAGTATCGAAAAGGGGGTGTGAACAGACGAGAGCTGATCAATGAGACCTGCATTCCTCAGTCTCGCCATCAAGTAATCTCCCAACACAGTAGTCTCGCGATTAGTATCCGGTACGATCTGCAGGATTAGTGCTCGGTAGCCATCCCCATCACTGTGGGGCGAATCCTCTCCGCAAGACGCGAAGCTCGACGGTCGAGCAATTGTAATAATAATATGATACGTTATTCAGTGGTGGTAGACATTAGTGAGACAATATTAATGTACTGATACAACTTTCTTATAAAGGTTTTCTTGTAAACGGAACTTTTTTTAACGCATTTGTGAGATTCTTCTGATTAAAACAAGACTAAACATGGCATATTTTAAATTTACTTAGAAGAAAATAAATTATTGTAATTTATTAAATAAGTAAATATGTTCCAAAATACATCTTATTTAGTCTCGTTTTAATCTGAAGAGTCTTGACTATCCATTGGTAAAAAATCATTGCTATGGAATTATTATTTAATGTTTTAAACATCTTTTATGCTTCATAAACGTTTTAATTTGAAAAGCTTAGTACAAGTTTATGAAAAATGCTAGATTCGCGATGTGTTCATTATGAAATTATATAAATAGATGAATGAAACTTTCGTGGTCAAAGGCATCTTCTTTTGGGAGTGATGAGTGCATTTTTAAAGATTCTTTAAATTTAGAGAATCGCACTGCGAATACGAGAACGGGAGTAGGTCATATTCAAAATTAAGAAATCGAATTTATTTTTATTAATCTTGTTAAAAGCTACTTGCTGTTAGCACTTTTTCTTTAATATTTTAGAGGATAAAGTGTTAATTCTCTGAGTGAAATTTACATTTATTTTAAGGAAACGTATTAATTCATTGTAACAAGAAAATTACACTCGAATAAAAAGATAGCTTTGTTTATAAATGCGAATTCTTGTTAATGGTATTTAATAACATTATTAAAGAACGAAGTGTATCAAATTATATTCGAAACGAGAAATTAATTTAGAAGAGTAATTCTGTTAAGATCAAGAAAAGATTAAAATTCACGAACACATCACTGCAAGAATAATTCTTTTGTGACGTTAGTTTCGATAAAAGTCGACGATAACTGTCAACTTCGAGGGTTAATATTTTTCGAACAATTTTAAAACCAACAGTGGGATGATTTAAACCCCAGTTATTTTTACGTGAGCTACGATATATCTCAATTTGAACGAAATCGCAGGAATCGTATACAAAAGTGATCGATTTGACATGGAATAGCCTTTATACGAAAAAGCTCAACACGCCTCTGTAATTGTAGAGATTGGACCGAACATTGAAGTCATGACTTCCACATATACGTGTTTAACGTTTAAGACAGTCGAATTAAACGCAGTACAATTATACCAAATAAATGGGGCATGTATCGTAAACTTTTATTATATCTCATAGCATTATGAATATAAATTAAAAGCTGAATCCATCTGTCCACTTAAATAAATCTTTACGAATGTCTTTAAAGCTGTTGATGATACCGCAAGTGAATACGTATTAATAAAAATTAAATTGTTTTAGGAGTTAAATCAGTGAATATTTGACTGTTACTGCTGCGATGTGATGTGAATATTAGATCACGATTAGATGTGACGATTTAAATTAGATCGAGCTATCTCACCCCAAATTACCCTACTTTTATTTTATAACCAGTTAAGGGTGGACACAACTTATAGACGTTCTAATTATAGGTAAATCTTAGGAATTTTTTTGTTAATAACTATCAAGTGAAAACTTCTGATTTTTTCTGGGTGTATAACTGTAACCTTCTGCTTTATAGTCATACTTTTTCTAAGCCAAAATATTACAGAATGGTGCAGTTATTTGTTGGCTTCAAAATTCCTTTTCGTAAAACATCCATTGTTGACCGACTCGATTGCACGCAACTGAAACATCCGAAGACAAATATTTTTGCGGATTTATAAACAGAAATATATTATGCAAAATATATCATACGGATTTTTCGATATCTCGATCATTTAATTTTTTATAAACATTTAAATCCCATTTTTTGGGTTAAAAACAGGATTTTGCACTTTAAATTCTTACCATTTCCATGATAATTAAAATATCGAAAAATTCGTACGCTACATTTTAGATAATCCATTTCCATTTATAAATCCACGAATATTTTTATCTTCGAATGATTCAGTTGTTAACAATCATGCGAATAACTCCGCCATTTTGTAACATTTCGTCGTAGAAACAAATACACATATAAAGCAGAAAATTACAGTTACACACCCAGAAAAAAATCAAAACTTTTCACTTAATAGTTATTAACAAAAAAATTTCTACAGTTTACCTATATTTAGAACATCTCTAAATGGTGTCCACGCTTAATCGACCAATTACGATATAAACAGATACATACAAAATGTCGGTACGTTTACCGTTAAATAAATAAATAAATAAATAAGAAGAAAAGCAACGAAACTAAAATTCGGCACCATTAATACGCTCGACCCTCTTGTAAATTACAATGCGTCGTTCACATGAAAGAAATGCACGTTGGAGGCAGAAATAACAGTGCTCACCGTTACATTCTCCAATTGCTTCGAACACTTCGTCCCATTTTCTCTCGAACTTATATTTCACGTTTTCAGCGGAATTTATAACGTCGTTCCTAGTGCAACGATTCATCGTTTATAGCCTGTCAATTTCTAATTGCCGGGAAAAAAGAGGATATAAACGTTCTTTCAGCTTTTCTTTTTTTTACCAAAAAAACCGGTACCAGTTTCGGTTTCTGTAACGCCGCATCGCCGATCGTCGAAACAGATCGATACCAGGCATCGAGAGGAAATTGCAATGCTATTAGCGGTGCTCGGCACATCGCTGGATGACACGCGTGAATTAAAAAAGAGCAACCGCGTGTTTCATATAACCGATAGATCCCCGTTCCTCCGTGGCGCTGTCACGCGTGGGATATTCAGAACGTTTTGAAAGTGATTCGATAAGCGTCCACCATTTCCGTTCATTCGATTGAATTATCGAATCAATGCGTTCCTAGAGCTAAGCAATTTTTGCCTCGAAGAGTACGTTGAATCGAAGGAGTAATCCGCGAATATGGAGTACATTTAACCCTTTGCACTCCAAGAACTTTTTACCAAAAACACCGAAAACATTTTCTAATGAAATATAGTCAACGTTTCTTGAAACTAACATAATGAGTAATCGTACGTAAACTAAAGAACGAGGTTGTTTTATTTTAGTATTTCACATACTAATGCAGAATACGAAACTTACTATTAAACGATTTAGTGTCAACCGAAGAAATTGTATCTAAGCGAGGAATACTGAACCAATCAGTATGAAATAGTTTCTTCGTATGAATGTATATTTTATTGAGTTTCTTTCCAGCAGATTAGTAACAATGATGAAGCTCTTGTAAAAATGGTTAACAAGAAGTCTTAAGAGAAATTTTTAAATTGATCATCAGTTTTATTGATTGTAGTTATTACTGTGTTTATTTGTGTCTTCTGTATCTTTCTGCACTTTATGCTTTTATCTTTTTAATTAAGAATCTAATATACTTTTTTAGTATCAATATCCTACCTTTACAATATTATGATAACGATAAAGCGACTTCTGAAAATGTATTTGCCACAGGAATTTCAAAACGAGTAGATAAACTGTCATTCAAAGTTGATTACTATTTTTCTGATTCATTTGCTTAAGGACAAAAAATTATATTATAATATAATTAAAAATGTAAATTAAATCATAATTACATTTATTGTGGAACAAATAGCTTGAAATCGTTATTTCTTTTTACGTTTCTTAATACGAGTATTCTTGAACGAGAAACTATATGTTTAACGTTCAACAAATATTCAACGTTGCAATGCTTCAATAAAGAATATCACTTTCATATAAAAATAATGTAGGTGATTTGAGGGACTTAAGGAAAGTAACATAGGGAGCAGATATTTTTACATCACGTTCATCCTTTGAAACCGTCCAAGATCTCTTTTTTTGTGTCACTCAGAAGAAAGGAGATATTTAGGTCTTCGTGATTTGTTGAGATAGCTCACGTATTTGATGTCTGTGTAGTTTTATTGATTTTACGAGCTGATGGATTGGAAATGGTTTCTCGTCATATAAATTCGAGTTTAAGTTTCAGATGTACGATGTCAGCCAGTTTAATTAAGTTCTTCACTCGAAGCTTCTGCATATTATGATGAATTTCACACGCCTAACGTTTCACGCAAAGCTAAAAATGAATATCAAACTAGAAATACAGATGTAGCACGAAGTTGGTTAAAAGTTAGCTCGTTAATTAACACCGGCAAATAAATAACTGTGCATAATTATTAATCA